ATAAATGCGTTCTCTCCCGGTATGTTAGAGGGGGTCTCAATCACCCCACAACACCCCCCACGGCAGATTGGGGGTGGGGGGAATTCTGGAGGTTGAAGTCCACCCATCTTAAAGTTGCTGGGTAAGCCTGTTCTAGAGCAATTCTGAAGTTTTGCCACTCCTGAGCCGTCTCTCCCCCGTCTTCAGGCTCCAACGGCAAGGAGATGCTTCCAGTTAGCTCCTTAACGCCTCAATCAATGCGGGGTTTGGTTCGATAACACTGACTTCCCGCAATCCAGACCCAGACCACAGTTGAGCTCTGTTGTAAGGCCTCGCCTTCCATCAAGAAAATGGCATTTTTAAGTCCATTCCAGCTCTTACAATACCAAGGTGGGGCTCCTGACTCAAGAGTGAAAAAATGAGGAAGAGTTTTGCAAGCGCGGCTCTGTAGCAAGAAGAGGAAAAGGTCCCCGGGACGTTACAGAAGTGACCAGCCACCTTTGACAAACATCGGTCATGAAGCTGGAAGAGCAGGGTTTTAAAACACAGCATTTGTGAGGCTGTGTATTTTCCAATTCCTGCAGGGATGCAGCACAGAAGATCGAGATCTTTTCCAGAGTGGGGGACACAGAATAATGAACATAAATTATCGTGGTGTTTCTCAACCTCGGCAACTCTGAGCTGTGTGGACTCCAACTCCCAGAATTCCTTAGCCAGCATGCTTTAAGATCAGTGGACTTCAACTCCCAGAATTCTCCAAGTCCATCTCTCCAGGGATATAACCCCTTGCAACACCTGGGGAAGTGCTGTGGGGACAGGCTGGCGGAGGGAAAAGCTTCCTTGGTGCCTCCAATTTTGCTGATTAATTAGTTCCCCTCTAGCCCAGCTAACCAGCTGAACTGACCTTACAGGCTGTGCCAATAGATGTATACAGGTAGTCCCAGGTTAAGAATGCCCCAATTAAAGATGCCCCATAGTTAAGAACAGAGCCTACTGCAGCAAAACTTGAGTTAAATACACAATGATTCGAGTTCATTGCACAATATGACTTCTACACTATTATACAATCCTACTGTTCCGGCTTACGTACAAATTCGACTTAAGGACCAATCTTGGGAACGGAACCCGTTCTTAAACTGGGCACTACCCGCACATCCATGGTCTGTGCAGATATTAATTAAATTTATATGCCGCCCAA